TTTGCAAGTAACAGGACCCGTTTAGAAGCTCATCATAACTGGCCGTAGTCGACGTGCTTCAGCCTCCTTAAGTGTCTATTTTGAACGATTCTGAAACGTTTACCGCAGATAGTATCATATACTAACTGGTCGATGCGACCTGCCACCACACGCACGTGCGCATGACATTCGAACTTATTCAGTTACAAAATCGATCTACCTCAGCAAATCAAACACTAATATTGATCTGTTCAGATTTAACAGTTCGCTGAATACGCTGCATGATAGATCCTGCATGCATACCAACCTACAGATTGCCTACGTGCACATTATTGCAAAGAGAAAAACTACATGATTCCCTACGCCCTTATTTATTTGTTTAAATGGAACACAACATTGCTTTCGTACTTTTAATTAACGCGTCCGAACGGTGTGCTGCTCCATTTTATGGCAAACAATCAGGAATAAAAACCTACGGTCATTTCCTTGTACAACGAACGAAAGCTTCGAGTTGACTTGGGAGACGTTTTGTTGAAGAAAGGAACACTGGATGCTCATCCGAACGACGACTATGGCGCCTCGGGTAAGCACGGTCCATTTTACAGCCCCAAACGCAAGGATTTGTTGTAGGTAAGACTTAGAGTTGAATATGAAGTGAAAACAGTTTGTTACCATGATTATCCGAGAGTTTAGAGTACCGCTGATCGTTAGGTGAGGATCTAGTATTACTATAACAGCTTTGAGCGGAATGATCACGAAACGAAAAGGGAATAGTCTGTTACACGGAGCCGCGATAGAAAGTTGGGCGTGGTCCACGATACGCGACATATTTTGGGAAATTTGTTGCTTACAGTTAGCAAAAAGAACGCAGATTAGGTAATAAAATATCCGGGAGCATCGTGACGGAGGGTACCTTTTACGACTACAAACTATTCCTTTAGTTAGTCGTTATCATTTACCATACCTTCATGGTAGGTTTGTAGTTGATAATTCGTTCTGAATGCAGCCAGAATAAGACCATAATTCACGAGCTAATCGCTCCAGTCGCGATTAAGCACTCGCCATTTATGGCCGATCATAGGCTCCAAAAGGACACAAAAGTCATTTAATATGGGTATTACAACCGCGTCCCTGTGTCGCAATAAAGCCTTTATACGAAACGTTCTTGTATTTCCAGATTCTGTTCATCGTCTTTTGAAACCTTTGATTTTTAACATCTTGTTACTTCTTCCGACTCTATCATGTGTACTCGTTTTTGTTTTTCATAACATAACTGAATAGGTAAGGAAACTTAATTTGAATGACAGATTGTATGAAACAGCCTTGCTGAGGCATGCCAGCGATTGATCTAGTACCAAAAACGAGCTCATTTTCAAGGTTGTGTTCTTCCATATAATATAATTTACCTTCAATCACGAAATTGTTTATAGAGGAAGAAATGCTGTTACATTTGGAGTAAACCTCTCAACACTGAAGGAAGAGGGAGAAAAGGTCATGGAAACGTTTGACAGTTGTCCGCATAGAATCACCTTTCCGTATAATTACGAAAGGAATCGCTGCACAAAAATCGATTTCCTAGCGCTCTGGCACTCCTGATGTAATTTTCCCAGGGTTACCAAGCTGGATCTCAAGAAGTAAATCAAAATTGTGAAACCCCACTGGGAATTCATTATTTTTCCCCAAGAACCGGTTAGGTTAGAAGATTTTGTAATTGGCGTTTATACCTTATCTTCCAAAGCTTCGAGTAACGTAGATGCTTGATAACAAAAGAAATCAAAGAAAATTACGTTTTATACAACTCAACACAATAACGATGAGAAGTATTACAACACCATGTACTCCAAGGTACATCTACTTTGGGTGCATCTGCTGGGTGGCAAAATGAAGAAGCGCGGGAATAACAAAATGTTTTCGTTACGTGATATATCGCTTTTAGTATCCTTTCTAGCACGTTCTGTTTCGGTTCGATTTCGTTCGATCCCATCAGTGATGGTTGTGGTAACAAATAGACAACGGACACTGGTTCGCTGAAGACTTCCACTCGCTAAGTATGTTGTTTAGTTGCTACTGTTATTCAATGGAATAGGCTACTCGTCAACTGCGAATGAATCGTTGAATCTGTAATCTCATTGTCAGACGCGATCATAGGTCTCGATCATTGATCAGAATCATAAGGGTTTCTTTCAGTTGATCAGTCATCAAAGCGAATATTACGCTTTGTGTAAAAACATCTGCAATGGGTCATTTCTATATTTCTATGCAAACATCTATCGAAGTCGTGGAAGAACTCTAAGGATGTTTGCCACAGGCAAACCAACCTCGAAGAATGTTGCTTCCGTTAGTTTTGTGGGGTTGGGTAGGTCTAATCTGATCAAACTGGACATCGGAGCCGATTTCTGGGGTTTTTATATACAATGACCGGAAAAATTTTCCAGAAGCACAAGACCGGTTCGCCGTCCTGGACGCTCATCAGGTGTATGAGTATCCGATAAACCTTCCAGGTTCGGTTCTCTCGAATCAACCCCCAGGGATCAAGACGAATTTTGTGTTGTATAGTTGACATCGAGAGTACAGGTGTAAGAATGACGTGATACAAAAAGCTTACAGTTATGCATACCTGACGAGGGGCAAGGACGGGTCAATCAGCTGTACTTGCTTATTAGTCAATAATATCCAGCTTTGCTGAATACAACTTGAGGCATTTGTTTAGTCATGAAAAAGAATTTATCTATTATTTATTTGAGCATTTCGCGCGTGGTCCCTCGATTCTATCCGCAGAAGCGCTAAACGCATTGAGTTCTGTCGAATTAAAAGCTATGGCAACATCATCAGTGGAATGATTTCAGATCGCTTCATTTTCCTATGAATCATAGACTAGATCCAACCCTTATTTTTCCAGCCGAACCCTCATGCACGAAGTGGGGCAATCCGTCTCTCGTGGTAGGTAAATTGCTCTCATTTATTGCTAGCAAGTATATCACTGCCAAATGATGGTAGGTCTGATTCTGAAGCCATATTTGACCCCCATATTTGGTTCCTCGTCATGGTGATCTTGAGATTACGAGTTGATGGGGTTGACTTTGAATTCATACAAGCGTGTGATTTGAAAATACTGGTGATTTGGGCACCAGTCTATATGGGAACATATCGACCAACACAAATCGCCACTGGTGTCCCCGATGGATAAATATCTTATTGTTCTGTCTTAAAACACATTCATAAGCTCATAGAAAGTGAACTGGTTGATGTTTTTCATTGCAACGTGGACGAAATGTGCCAAAGATTTATCGACGGAAAAATTTAAAAACGTCCTCAGAGATAATGAATAAACGGTATAATTAGAAGTTAGAAATAGATATATAGAACGAAGCACTTCATCTGGGACAGGACAGTTAAGTTTTCATGAAGCACTCAGGATCTGTTGAAAAGCAGTTCGACAGTCCGCTTACATAATTTCCGGTTACAATACACAGTACATTGTCCAGGATATTGAGAGGAACTACTGACTGGTTCATCGAGTGTGCAGCAAAGACGCACTCAAATAAAGTGTAAATAGTTACTCATTACACTAGGGGGGAAACTGCTGTCTGAAAGTTGACCAGTGAAGATCGAAACAACGTATTTATGGTTGCTACTTGTCGCTTGTGGGCACATTCGAGCTTTGGGTTTTTTCATTGTAGTTCTAGCTTTTATCCACTCAGTTGAAGCGAGAGAGACAAAGTTCAAAAACCTTACTTTATCCATTGCAGTTGTTTGACTGTGGTGAGTCGACCCTCCAAGGCAACACCAGGATTCTGGATATCGGACCACAGGCCCAGAGCATCGGCCAATCAAAGGAAATGCAGTTTAAAAAAAGAGGCGGTGTGATTCGGAAAACGAGAACGGCGAGTGGATGATATCCGTTTTCCCAAAGATGTTTCTATTTACGTATTATTTAATCCCGCTGATTTACCTCAATAAGTGAACCACTGCTTCTGTGTCCTCTTTACTGCATCTGGATAACGGGAAATTCCTGCCTACGATTGCCAGTCGGATTCCGTGCTTCAGCTGCAACTGTGATTCATGCTTCTTACCTGTTCTGACTATCACACTGACCCGACTGAACGACTTTAAATCCGCGCAAAGTAGACTTTCTATACAAACATTTGTTAATCTGGAATAACGTTCCTCCATGCATGTCTCTATCCATTGCGCTGACATCATTCAGTAGCATTCAAAGGGGGCACTGTCTCAGAGTTAATTAATCGGAGAATTGCATCAGTCACCAGGCACGCCTAACACCCTGACAAAAATCTTATTTCGTTCAATTCAGAACGAATCCTTCTTTTGCTGCTGACAAAAGGACAGACTTCCAATGAACAGGATCTCGTTTTTGTTTAGCGGCTTATTTGCTCTTTTAAAGGAAACTACACGCAGATGAAACCGTCAGACCATTGCCCGATCACCGTGGAAAAACTCGCCTATGTTACATTAACCCATGAACGGTCAGCCTCTGTGTGTCTAAATTCACCATTCATTTGTTTCATTTCGACCATATAGTCATGTAGCGAAACAGTGTTAACACGACTGAGGGAGCAAGACAGAGGCACGGGGAGAGGGCGGTCCAAAAAATTACTTTATCGGAGTGTTGTAGTTTAAGTAACTAACTGATTAAAACATTTTTAGAGTTAACCATCCGAAATAAGATGAATAGAAAAATCTTTTCTTGTCATTTTTGTGTTTGTTTTCAGTGAAAGTTTAGAACATACTAAAAAAATCAACTCGCTCGCTTCACGGGTTGTAGACAAGTCACACACTTTGATCGATACTTGAATAACAAAACAAAAATGAATGCTGAATGAAAAACAACAATGCATAGGATACATTTTGAACAAATGGCTTCATTTAGAAACCGTTGATGTCCTGATCAGCAGAGTCACTCTGCGGATTAGGTGTGTTTGTGTGTCTGCGGTGTGTTTGTCTGGAAGAGTGGGTAGGGGAAATCATGCGATTTAGGGGGATTGGGAAGATGTGAGGGGGAGTTATTTCGCACCACCGGCGAACTTTTGCCTAAGTGCCATAATGGCTGGGGAAATGGTGCTCACCGAGCCTGATCTTTTCGGTGCCTGACTGCCGGTCGGAGTGCTTCCTGGTGGAGTGGAAATCTGATGGGAAAGCGAAGGTGGTTTACTGTCTGTTTTGGTGGATTTAACTTCGACTTTTGTTGTTGACGTGCCATGATCCTTTGATGCTGTCTGCTTGGATTCTTCCTTTTTCGTCGACTTATTATCGTCCTTCCCGGTTGCCTTGACTTCTTCTTGTTTAGATGATTTCTTACTCTCTTCTTTCACAGGGGACTTGTGATCATCTTTTGTCAGTGCTGTTTTGGAGTCAGACATTGTGGTTTTTGACTCATCTTTGGATTTAGAACTCTCCTGTTTTACTTTCGTCGAACTGTCTGATTTCGCTGAACTGACGGTGGACTGTGTTTTAGAGTCTTTCTCCGTTTTCTTCGTACTACCTTCGCTACTTGTTTGTGACGAACTGGTCGTGCTGAGTGCGGATTTACTGGAGGACTTCGGGCCCGGCGAAGCCCATCTTGCGATTCGATTGGCGATGGAGGATCCGTGCTTTGTTTTAGTGACCACAAGGGCTGAGGCCTTCTCTTCGACTGGTTTCGCAGTTGAGCTGGTTCGTGTCGCCTCGTTTTTGCCTGGTTCGGGGGCTTTTGGTGTGGTCGGCTTCGCATCATCTGTTTTGGTTTTAGCTTCAGTGTGGGATGGAATGGGTGGTTTACTACTCAACTCGGTACTGGCTGTAATGGTGACCGGTTTTTTGCTTTCGGTCTTGGATTGTCCAATCTTTGTCAGGGAGGTGGTAGATGCACTTTTGTCTTCTTCGAAGAACTTCTTTCGGGCGGGTGATAT